ACTGTCCCACTGATAACTGTACGGCTGGACACTGTCCCACTGATAACTGTACGGCTGGACACTGTCCCACTGATAATCTACCACCAGACTACTTTCACTGGGTTCCTTGTTCATTCATCCACCATTCATGGCCATAAAACATTCTAGCTTCAAAAAAATAGCTGGTAAGATACAATTAATTTCCTTTCAATAATGATTGTTTTTAAAATGTTACAAAATATGCTGTTAGGTTTTGAGAGTCATTTGCAATATAGTTTGCACACAGATCGCAGAGAATATGTTCCTTTTAATGTCAACAAAATCCACTCATAGCCTCAGGACGTTTTTCATAACAGCTCATTTGTCTTTGTCCTTTAATCTGACATCTAGACATTTTTATTTATTTTCAGTTAGACACTAAGCAGCATGTTATCTGCAGATGACTCATCAAAGTGTGGTCACAAGCATGGATGGTAGATTGAAATGACCTTTGGCATTACAGAGGCATGTCTTCATGGCATGTAGCTGTGACAATGTGGGAATGTTTTGTGCTCTGAAATTGACCTATACCAGAAAGAAGCGAGTGCCACTAGAACATCAACAGCCTCCCAGTGAGGTTGAACCCATTACCCTGTACCACCCAACAGGCAGAGATGCCATCACCACCAGAGTATTTTACTTGGCATTCAATGAAAGCATTAGTAAATCATATAATCTTTATTCCTTGTCACATTGCTAAAAAAAGAACATTTTAAAATATATATGTTCCAATATTGAATTTGTTTTCAGGTTTCTTCATTTATGACAAACCAGCTTCAGGGTCCTCTTTTATCTTTTATGAAAACCTGTTTTCACCTCAAGAAATAATAAATACTGTCTTTTTTTATTACAATTATTGATAAAAAATCTGAATCAGTGTTTAGTAGCAGTGTTGATGCCTCAAGAGAAAACTATTTTGTACTGGCATGCTTGTGAACATTATGCTCTATTTATGCTGGTTTTATTTGTGAAATACTTCTTAAATTCACAAGTAAACAATTGCTATAGAACATTCATCTTTTTCTTTTAAACAAAACATTCTATGTGCCGTTTCGTTCAAGGACAGGACATGCATACATGGAGCTGTGGATATTAAAATCTCAAGGCTTGTTAAAAATAATCTGCAAGAAGGTTTAGCCATGCACACTCATTATTTAAATGTGGTGGCCACTTTGTAGAACAACCGAAATGAAAAAAGGTATGGCCTATATGTAAACATCATAACTTATAAGAAACAGTTTTGTCATAATATAATAAAATATGGACAACCACATTTCCAGACAAGTTGGGACATTTGTCTGAAATGTCAAGAATCTGTGATTTGGTGAATTCTCTCAATCCTTTATTTAACTGACAAAAGTACAAAGAAAATATTTCAATTTTATTCACTGACCAACTTAATTGTATAAACCAATTTGATATTTATGACTGCAACACTCTCCAAAAAAGTTGGGACAGAGGCAAAATAAAAGTGATAAAAAAAAAAAAAATCCTAAAAAGCTAGTGTCCAAACACAGTCATAGATTCATCAAATATGTATTTAGTCATTTCTGGATTAAATTAAGATCCCTTCCATTTAATATTCACCTTCGCCATTCCCAAGTCAGTGACCCAGTGACGCAGAATTAGTAAAATTTGACTACATTTATTTAATTTATATGTAATGTGCAAACTGTTTTGAGGCATACATTTGTGGCTACTTGTCTCTGTGATATAGATGAGACACTCTTGACCCAGAGAAAAGAGGAAGATTCAAAATTAATTTGATTTTACATTTTGCAAATAAAATTGTAAATGTGCCATTATCAGTTCGCTACTTTGTCCTGAGATGAATCAAATCAGAGCTTAACCATGCACTAATAATTTACTACATCAAAGGCATTTGAAAGAAAATAGTTCATTTAGCCTTTAGGATTAGGATTTTTTATTTTATTTGAATATAGGCTCAATAAAATTTTTGGTAACACATAATGTGAGTTTAGGGTCTAATTCTCAGTATTAACTACTTGCTTATTAGCATGCATATTACTTTGATATCAGCTGTTTATTACTACTTATAAGCACATATTAATGCCTTAATCTGCATGACCATATTCTACATCCCTTAATCCTACCCCATACCCAAACTTAAGTTTATTGAGGCAAAAATCATAGTTAATAGTGATAATTGGACCCTAATCTAAAGTGTGACCAATTTTTTATATTAATAGGCTCGTTTAAAAGTGTGGATATTTTATTCATTCACTTTAGGATCATTGCTTAGGCAATAGGCTATACAGATTATTTTGTTATTGGTTCTGTTACTCCCTAGTGAAAAAAAACCCTGTACCAAAATGTATTTAAAATACATTATTTCATACTAAGTATACTACAAATCCATTAAATTATTTACTGGCATTTCGCTTGAGACTTACTGATATAAATATTATAAATAACTTTATTGGGAGCACTTCTTTAATGCACAATGCACATTTCTTAATATTAATGCGTTTTAATATAGTAAGGACAGTATGATCTCTGTATAATATCAGTATGCAAGATATTTAAAGTGTACCTAAAGTATACTTCCAAGAGTTCCACTTTAGCACAATCAAAATTATACTTAATAAGTATATCTTTAGTTGGACCTCAGCCCTATTTCTGGATAACTAAAGAGCATTAAGTACAAAATTAGTTCCAATTTAGCAGACTTTAAGTATAACAATTTAGTATATTAAAAGTGCAATTCCAGGGTATTTATATTAAGTACACATATATGTAAATGTATTTGTAGTATACTTAGCATAAAATAAATGTATTTCAAATACATTTAAATTTTTCACTATAGGGCTGTAATGTAATGAACTGTTATCTCAGCAAATTCCGTTCAGTTTGTTCTATTCCCATTTCTCTTTTTTGCTCATTGAAAAACTGTTAGTATTATCTCTTCACGAAGCAGGATTAGCTGTTGTTTGTGCAGTATTCGTAGTGTCTTTTCCCAAGTGGTGATCACAGAAAGGGTCAATCCCTTTAATCGGGCTCTTCTGACTGTAATTGATTTTCTACGTTTGGACATAAAACTAAATGATCAATAGGCTAAAGAGAGAGGAGTCAGCTCTGATTCATGAGCCTCATTAAGCATCCGTAAAATGCAAATGAGGTGATTTGTTAGATGCTGATCAAACCTGCAAATAAAACAACAGACAATATTATATACAACAGTTAATTCTGGTCCTAGAATTTGATTGGTTGAGCGTATATTCAGTCCTGACAGCACTGCGAACCAGCCACTCATTCAATTTCAGCAACAACATTACTTCATTCAGAATCGAAACAAGTGACTGTCTTAAAGGCTTAGTTTACCCAAAAATGAAATTTCTGTCATAAATTACTCACCCTCGTGTCATTCCAAACCCGTAAAACCTTCGTTCATCTTCGGAACACAAACTAAGATATTTTTGATGAAATCCTAGAGCTTTCTGACATAGGCAGCAACGTCATTGCAACTTTCCAGGTCCAGAAGAATAAGACATTGTTAAAATAGTCCATGTGAATACTACGAAGCTTGTTTCCGCCACATAATGAAAAATAAAAAAGGTAATTGCGACTTTTTATCTCACAATTCTGACTTTTTTTCTCACAATTGCGAGTTTACATCTCGCAATTCTGACTTTATTTCTCAGAATTGCGAGATATAAAGTCAGAATTGCGTGATATAAGTCGCAATTGCGTGTTATAAAGTCAGAATTGCGAGATATAGTCAGAATTGCGAGATATAGTCAGAATTGCGAGATATAAAGTCAGAATTGATTGATATAAAGTCGCAATTGCGTGTTGTAAAGTCAGAATTGCGTGAAATAAAGTCGGAATTGCGTGTTATAAAGTCAGAATTGCGAGATATAAACCACAGCCACGTCCAAGTGATCTGAGGACGCGGGCGCTTCGGTCTGTGCGTTACAAGAGGTAAAAACTATATAAATACTGTTCGTTTTCTCACACAAACCGCTCGTTTCGTGTCTTAGGCCATCAATGTGAACTTACATTTCCGAGTCATTAAATCATGTTTAATTTGGACTTCTCTGTGCATGCTCTTTGAGGTGGTGACCATAGGCCTGCATTATATGACTGACAGACAAGAACGGTATGACCTAAGAATATCAAAATTTAAACTACTGCGGAAACAAAGACACCTACATCTTGGATGCCCTTGAGGTAAGCTAAAACATATCAAAAATTAATTTCAAAGTGAGCTATCCCTTTAATTCAGTAACGAAATACCACTGAGTGTTACTTGGAGACGAGCAAAATGTACAAACTAACTGGCAATATTTTGTCCAAAATGTAAGTTACTCAGTTTTAACTTTTTATTAAACTGCTGTAGGCCTATGCCAGAAATATCAGACTGAATCAGCCTGAATATGCTCATCAGAATCGGAACAGCTGCACTCTTGCCCATATGATATTGCTTAAACACGAACATGCTCACAAGGTAAACTGAATGCTTACTTGAGTCACTTCATTATTTAAACAACATGCCACCAAAATGCTCTAAGAAAACAACCTCTTTGGAGTATTTTATCTGTTAGTCAGAGGAAATGTCATTCATACTTACCTTCACTCATCATTGCTGATTGGTGGAGAAAGCTAGGGGAGGGGCCTACACTCAGCATGCCAGACCGTGGCTGTGGGGGCAAGAGTATCTCACTCGCCTGCCTGCCAAGTGCTGGGAGCACACTGGAGACTGAATGCCTCACTCTGAATACTGCATTTTGCTGTGTGCACTTCAACAGAGTCAGTGTTTATAGATTCAGTCAGATGTCGCTGTCTCCTATCCTTTAATTCTCTGTCTGCATGTTTGTATCTCTTTTTTTACATTGTGTTCTTATGTAGGAGGCTCTTGCAGCCCTTTGTTGGATGTTTTTGCTGCTTTGGAAGAAGAGTTATCATAGAGGGGAGGTGACGGATGTTTGTTCATTATCTGCTTTCTTTGATCTACTGGAGGATGTTCAATGTAAACCTAATGAATTCATCAGACTGAATTAGCTACAGGTCAAAACACTGACCACAGATATTCAGGGAAATGAACACCTCACATCATCATGGACTGCATCATTCGTACCGGAATCACAGCCAGGGAGCTCTGCCGGTGGGAAAGCCTGGTCAGGGTGACAGAGGATCAGCCTCAGGATGCTATGAGCAGCTGCTCATCTCCACAGAGGTCTTCCTCGCGCTCGGGCTCGTCAGTCTCCTGGAGAACATTCTGGTGATTGCGGCTATTGTCAAGAACAAGAACCTTCATTCTCCCATGTATTTCTTTATCTGCAGTTTAGCCGTAGCAGACTTGTTGGTCAGTGTCTCCAATGCTTCAGAAACGGTCGTGATAGCGCTCATCACGGGGGGCAACCTGACCAACCGCGAAAGCATTATCAAAAACATGGACAACATTTTTGACTCAATGATCTGCAGCTCGCTGTTAGCCTCCATTTGGAGTTTGTTGGCCATCGCAGTGGACCGCTACATCACGATCTTCTATGCCTTGCGCTACCACAACATCATGACCCAGCGGCGGGCGGTCACCATCATAACCTGCATCTGGACCTTCTGCACGGTCTCCGGCGTGCTCTTCATCGTGTACTCGGAGAGCACCACCGTTCTCATCTGCCTTATCAGCATGTTCTTCACCATGTTGGCCCTCATGGCCTCGCTCTACGTCCACATGTTTCTTCTAGCCCGGCTGCACATGAAGCGCATTGCTGCCCTCCCTGGCAATGGCCCTATCTGGCAGGCAGCAAATATGAAGGGGGCCATCACCATCACTATCCTTCTGGGGGTATTTGTAGTGTGCTGGGCTCCGTTTTTCTTGCACCTCATCCTCATGATCTCCTGCCCCCGGAACCCCTATTGTGTCTGCTTCATGTCTCACTTCAACATGTATCTGATCCTCATTATGTGCAACTCAGTCATAGACCCTCTCATCTATGCCTTCAGGAGCCAAGAGATGAGGAAGACCTTCAAGGAAATCTGCTGCTGCTGGTATGGACTGACCTCTCTGTGTGCATAAGGTTTTCTGTTTGACGTTAATATACTGATTGTGAGACGTTGGCTTACAAGATAGCACAAGACAATAAATGGATGATGCTGAGAATGTAGGAGATCTAATTACACTGCATAGCTGTGCACATTTATTTGATGCCCAGAGAAAGCTGATACTATGGCTGTGCTGACCATAAAAACGAAACCTTATCGAGATGAGCTCATTTTAATGACTTTAATATTTTTCATTCATTTACATATTGTTTTGGTGTTTACTCATATATACCAGACTCGTTCATTTTATCTGCTTAAGACATCAAAAGTGCCAATATTTAAAGCATTATGAAATTTATGCTGTGTGTTGTGATTCAGTGACTCATGCACAATGTGCTTGGCAACTGTGATTATATGTTCTGTTAGCAGGTTGGGTTGGTACTTTATTATCCAGCCGGAGGACCATTGCAGTTTAATACATGTGTTTCAGACTGCATTTATTTTTATATTTTGTAAGTTAAGATCATTAATTTTTTTGCAATGCCATCTGATTGTGCAATTAAAAAAACATAAAAATTAGCAATTATGCCTCATCAATTTTCTTGTGGATTTCGCTCATATTACACTGTCTTGGTTTACATTTTCCTTTCTTCCCAGCTTCAGTGTCATGGAGCTCAAAAGGTAAATCTCCATATCATCTAGTAGATGATTGCCTACAGGGTCATAGAAGCTATTTATTTTGTTAGTCTTTTTTAAACCTATTGTGCTGTATAGTCTCTCATCTCGTGCAACAAAATAAGAAAGGATTTCTGTCTGTTTGCACATTCACAAGCTCTCATTTATAGCCACTATTTTCCTCTCTTCCAATAATATTAATTGACCTTTAAATCAAAGCCAAATCCACTGGATGTACTTAAAAAAATATTATGATTATTTCTCTCAGCATGCTGAGGTGGTCTATAGTACATGCATGGATAAAGCTATATCATTTGGCATTCCTGTTAGCACAGGGGAGCAGAGGGTAAACTAACTCTAGGGTAACAGTGCGTTCACACCGCCGCCGGCGAGAGTGGCCAAATTCGCTCTCTCCGCCCTGCCAACGACGCCGTGGAAAGATTCGTGGACGCTCTGAAGTAGATCGAATCTTGGTCTTTTTTATAACTTTATTTAAAGGGGCCGCAACGCAAAAAAGAATGTTGATCGTAATTTTTGCAGACTGACCAAGTAGGGTATAAGTTAACCTCACTTATCTTCCATCAGTTAACCTCATGGAACCTCATGGAATCCTCGCCAGAGCTCGCCGCCGGGTCTCATTGAAAATGAATGACTTCTGGCCACTTTGACGCTCTCGTCGGCGGCGGTGTGAACGCACGGTAAGGCTACATGCGATTCCTCCTTAAAAACACATTTAAATAGAATCTCATAAAATAGTTACGTGTTGCCTATCAACAACCTACACATCACAGCATAAATGCTCTTGTTATTGAAGTGGTGATGTTGGCAAACCACTATGATTTGTACAGGCAAGCATATGCGTGATTTGGCATGGCAGCCAATTTGAATAAAAATAGCCTATTTCCTAATGCAGCAATGCATACGTTTTCTTCAAATTCTGAATGGATTATCGCCCAGAAAGCGTGCATAAAAGTGCTCCCTTTAGTCTATAATCACCAAGCTGTCACTCATCTTAATTCATCGCGATCTCACAAAGTTCTGCTAATTGATTAAGCTGACTGTACAATGAATACGCCTATCTTATATAGCCTACATAATGTCTACACTTTTTTTGTTACAAGTTAAATTATAACGAGAGGATTTGAGTGTGCAGATCTAAGCACTAAACGAAAACTCAGGCGTTTTAAGTGGTAAGGGGTTCCAACTTAAACACATCTGATAGGCCATTGCATTCAAGAAATCATCAGATATGTTTGTGATTTGCAACATTACTCAATGCTGCAAAAATATGTTGTAAATAGAAAAACCTATTTATATTAGCTTCAACGCTCTCAATAGCACAATCACCAAATCTGTTTATGTTTATCAGTTTATGATGTGAGCATTCGCAAGAGTGAATATAGTCAGAATTCAGAGTTCAGCTCGTGCACTGAATACAACTCTGGTGTTTCAGCGATTACTAATCTTAACATCTCTGATTGGCCATTGCATTCATAAACTCAACAGAGTCTTGTGTGTGATTGGTTATAGTGCGCAACACTGTAAAACGCTTGAAAAGTATGATGCAACATGAGATCGAAATTGAATGCCCCAATCGACACTTTATTACTAGATTTAGTTCAAATGTTCAGTTGCATTTTTGGCCAAAGCCCCTGTTAATTTACGCACTAAGCTGTATGGCAAATCTCTCTGGAGCCACATTGAGAATGACATGACAAAACTAGCTGATGGCACTACAAGCTGCTGACACCAACCCTTCACTTGTGACATGTCATAATATGCATATATATTTGGAAAATTTGGAAAACAGCCTGTCAGTCTGATGGAAACCTATATATCCTATTCTTACAAAGTTATTTTTTCAGTCTTTACTGGAAATGAAATGCTTCTCACGCCTGCAACACACCTATTGAATGTAGACTCGTCTTCAGTTTGTATTGGCCACACATTAGCATGTGCAACCAATCAATAAAAATGTACTTATTTTGAAATAAATTTAATAAGATATTGCAACATCTAGCATTCATTATCTGTGTTTTTATGTTACACAACTCATAAAAGTTATTTAGAGACTATACACTTGACTGTTGCTCCATTATTTGGTAAAAAAGAAAAGAAAAGCAGATTTATCATTAGGTCACCTCTGAGTAATAAGCCCTTCTTTGAGCTTTCTTTCTTCTGATAGTGATTACAATCCATTTACGTGTATAAGTCTCATTAAATTTCAAGATTGAGTGTCTCAGATTGCTACTTCATAAGTGCCTTAACAATCATCTCTTTGGTCACAGTTCACATTTTCATCACTGAATAAAACACCTTCTCTGAACACGTGACAAGATAAATGCTTCAGCAATGTAACTTACACAGTAGATTTACACAGCATGAAATGCTTTCTAGGTCTGCATGAAAAGTGTCTTAAAGATGTCTTAAAAATAAAAATGCAAATGTGTAAAAATGGAGACTATTTCGTCCTGTACAGAGAAGGAGATGCACTGAAATTATTTGTGAAAGGCTCCATTTCTCAGCAATTTAAGCTTGACTTTAGAAGTATCATTATAGTCATTTATTTGAAGAAAGAAGGGGAAGATACTAGCCTGGCATGCCAGACCTACATCAGGATGTTAGGTCTGGGAACTCACCATTGACAGGCCTCAATACGAGGGGCGGGATGAACGGTTGTCTTTCAAATTCCCTCTGCACGCAATAGGATAGCGCTACAACCAACCAGAGCAACGAAGAAGGCATATAGTCAGAGCGATCTCACACATCTTCAAACAGAACACATCTTCCTTTTTTAAAAATGACTCAAGTGGCGTTCTTTTTTCATGTTTCAAAGAAAAACTTTAAATCATCTAGAGTCACGGCCAAAGCCGAATCGAAAGACAGCTGTTCGCCAGCAGCAGCAGCCATTCTTTGTTTTCAAGAAGCAGTGAACCGTCGCATTTCTGTTTCTTCATTCATTATGTTAAGCCCGCCCGCCGACTCTATACACGATGTGATTGGCCTGACTAGAGTTTGGTTTTTCCAGCTCGAATGTCAACGGAGTTGCTAGACTACACTGGCTGCAAAATATTTTTTTTCAGCCGCTAGGGGGAGTCTAGATTTCTAGGCTAGGAAGATACAGCAATGAGCCTAAGTGCTGCATTGTTTTGGGGGAGTTTCTAAACTCTTTCATCTGAATATTTTATTAACTCGGCAGGGCAGATAATAAAGGCTTATAAGCAGAGTGCGAATTACCCCACCATAATTGGGGAGTACTGCTCCTTCACTTCTTCTATGACCATCTCTCATAGTTCTCTCCAGGGTTCGAAATGACTTATGACTCTTGGAGGGGGTCCCCTAAAATGTATGTAATTATAAAATGATAAAAAATTCTGAAGACCTTGCTAGCCTACTGTTGGCAAAATTATATGGACCAATGTCAGGGTTTTTCCTGGCTCAAAATGAGGCAGAGGTGGCAAAATCGTAACCTGTCAGGGGTGGACGCGTGGCTACAAGCGGATCAGGATATCTCAGAGCTGCATTTCAGCTCTGCAGCCCTGGTTAGCGGCCAATTGGTACCAGCAGGGGACGAGGATGGGAGCGATTTCCCACCGGAAAATCATCTCGACAGACGCCTCCAACTCAGGTTGGGGCGGCCTTTTCGAGGGCAGACCGGTCTTTGGCCTGTGGTCAGGCCGAGAGAAATGCCTTCACATAAACTGTCTGGAGATGTTGGCGGTCGAGAACGCGCTGAAGCACTTCCTCCCGTTCATACAGGACCAACACGTTCTAGTCCGCTCGGACAACATGTCGGTTGTGTCCTACGTGAACCGCCAGGGCGGTGTCAGGTCCAGGAGCCTCTGCGACCTGACGGAACGCCTCCTCGTTTGGGCCCAGTGCTTCCTGCGTTCGCTGAGAGCGACGCACGTGCCAGGGATCCTGAACGAGGGACCGGACAGATTGTCCAGGGACAATATCCCCCCCGGGGAGTGGTCATTACACCCCCAAACAGTCCAGCTGCTGTGGCGCCTCTTTGGCAGAGCGGAAGTCGACCTATTCGCGTCAAATGACAACGCTCATTGCCCAGTGTTCTTTTCAAAGAACGAGGATGCGCTGGCCCAACTCTGGCCCAGACGCCCGCTGTATGCCTTCCCTCCGATCTCGATGTTACCGCAGGTAATCAAGAGAATCAGGGAATCACACAGCCCAGTGCTCCTCATAGAATCACACAGCCCCGTGGCCGATTCCGGTGAGGAGGGACCTCCTCTCTCAAGCCTGCGGCTCGATCTGGCATCCCCACCCAGAGCGCTGGTCTCTGCATGTGTGGTTGATCAACGGATACCCGTTATCCTGCCAGAAGGAGTTATGAACACGATCACGCAATCTAGAGCCCCCTCTACGAGACGGCTATATGCGTCTAAATGGTCTGTGTTCTCCAAATGGTGCACCGACAAAAATCTGGACCCCAAAACGGGTGAGGTTTCGCAGGTGCTCAGTTTCCTTCAAGAGCTGCTGGATAAGGGCAGGTCCCCATCCATGCTCAAAGTTTACGTGGCGGCCGTCACAGCCTTCGATGAG